CAAAAAGAATGGCAGAAAACAGCCCATCCCACCGTACAAAGATTAATATTAACCAAAAGTTAACTACTGATTAAGGCGCTACAACCTTTAGTGTACCAGAAGTATTGGCTTATTATTAGGGTGGTGAATACTAATACAGTCAGCGTATTTGTAAATTAATATACATGTCAATTTGATGTATAGAAAAAAGCATCTTGTAAATTCTAAAATGGAATGGGATGCCAATTTTTATAAGTTTAAAATCAGTATGCAATTGCAAAAACTACATCAGAAGACCACAGGGAACCCTCAAAGACTGTTCAGGAGATCCCCATTAATAAATGAAACCTTCAGTTTCTAGATGTAGTAAATTTAGTGTGTAATTTCACAGCTCACCAAGAAGAATGGATATGACAGCCCTTAAGAGCACCTGCTGTTTAGCTGTTAATATTAATTAACCTTAGTATTATTTATAATGTAGAAATTTTAAAATTAAAGTAAGATTTTGCAAATCTGGTGTTCTTGTAGAGAGAATTTCTTTGAAAAGGAATCCTCCAACTAAAAAAGGTTTTTCCTTTAATGTTGAGAGTATTTTAAATGTATACATAAAAAAGTATGGAGTTCCAAGTGATTCATATATAAGAAAGGTGCGCACATCCAAAAATTTGTGCTTCTCTTTTATTAACGAACATGTTTTTCAATGGTACAGGCAGATCTTTGGGGTCATAGTTTTGACACTGAGGCCTACAGGTGATTTATAGTCCCATTTGGTAAACAGAAATGAAATGAAAACATGTAAGCTTTCAAATTCCTTTCCTGACAAAGGGGTTTATGCTGATGTGCCATATAAGAAGTACAATTGCAGATTCCCGCTAACAGTACTGCTCAACACTGAATTTGTGTGCTGCTCAGCCACTGATGCAGATCAATAACATGCAGATAAAGGCAGCATTACTCCTGTGAAGAATATGTCTGTCGTTAAGACTTCTACAGTACATCAATTGAGACTGTGATGTACATGGAAATAAGAGATTATGCCTTGTATAGTACATGGCCAAATATATGCTTACTGCGGGTTTACTTCCTAACTTGTTTGCTTATGTCATTTATGAAAGCCTTGAGTTCAAAAATGTTGTGTGCTAGTGTGATTCCATTTCCTCTTTTGTTTTTTAAGGATGTCTTACGTTTGTTTTCAGAACTTGGAATTTAGCATTTCCAATATATGATGTTTTAGTAGCTGTTTTTAAGGTGCTAAATGACTGTTCCATTTGGCATTGATATACTTTTTTTCTGGCAAATCACCCATGTTAAACTATAGTAAGGAACCTTTGTGTATAAATGGCTGTGTCTCTTACTGGTGAGGCTTCATTCCTTGGTGTTTCTGAAGCTGTTTCGTATCTCATCTACATTGGCTGCAGGTTAAAAAGCTTATGTTGTTAGCTCCTCAGGTTCCAGTGGTGTTGCTGACCGCGTCCTGGCACAACTGCTAACCGAGATTGATGGAATTGAACAGCTTCGGGATGTGACCGTGTTGGCCGCGACAAATCGTCCGGATATGATTGATAAGGTAAGACCCATATCCGTACCTTTCCAGTTCGTCACCCATGATGATTTAACTACTGTGGCAGTGCACTGATTGCTAAAAAACCTTGTCCAGTGGGTTCACGTCAAGACCCATAACCACAATCATGGCTAGAAATTTAAACAGATTTGATTTAACTTTGAGCACCATTGCGCATACCGTACTGTGATACTTTGAACCTGATAATTGTATTTCCCATTTGATTGACATACAATAGAATAAACAGATTAAAGCTGATGTTAATGGAGTATAGACAATTCAGTCAGGAATTGTCTTTAACCTCAGGAAAAGGGTATGTACTCTAAAATATTCATGTGTTTTGGCAAACTGTGCTGATGGTAAAATGGGAGAAATAAAAGATTTTTTTGTTCATAGCATGAGCTGGGATTGTGGGCAGAGCTTGTTTGAGCACAAAGATTGTGATGCCAGAATTTGGGATGTTATCCTTGTTATCCTGCTAGTCCCCTACCTAAGGAAAGGACCTATGATACCCTTCTGTTCCATAGTTTCTGCATCAGTTGCATTGCTGGTGCTATCCCCAGTGTGGTGCACAAATTGCGCAACCTAATATATTATAATTTAGCATTGATCCCAGCATCATGTTGAGGAAGCTGAACTTGTGTGAATCTGAAACAAATCTTACACAGCAGGTTTGTGATTGGAATAATTTTGTACTTTTTTAATTTTTGTGCTTTCATTGTTTGGTTTGCCTCACATCAGTATGCTGTATGAAGTATTATAAGTATTGCTTTTTTGTCAGAAACAACCATAGGAATGGAATAGTACAGGTTAACCTCAGACATAAAACTCAAAAGGTGAAATAAATCACAAAACAATGAGGTATCATTGACCCCAAAGTTACGATGCAGGTCTGATTATGTAATTCGGGTCACAGTGTTGCTCCACGCAAATAGGAGAATGTTATACTGCTGTCCTGCACATGGAGATGTTTTTATTTCAAAGATATCGGAAGTGCCCGTCTGTCAGTGCCTGTGAATGACCATCAATCCATGATGTGGAGAAAGCTAGCAGAGCTGTATGAAAACATTCCCTTTGGGTTTCCTTGGAGAATTGATATTTCATGGCCTTATGCTTAATTTCTCTTCCTTTTGAAAGGTATTTTAAGCCCTATTAACAAGTGTAGGCTTCCCTGAAGAAGAGTGTCGAAGCCCCAGGGATCTTTATGATTGTTTCAGCACAGGAAGTGATCTTGGCAGCTGAGAAATCAGATTATTTTGCCCTCCCACAGGGCCTGATTTGAATGTCAAACAGTTTAGCTGTGATGTTAAACACAGGCAGTTGAATAGAATGTCACATTAGGGATTGTGACGGCACCCTAGGGATTTCACCAGTCATCATGCCTTGCTGGACCAGAGGGGCTGTCTCATCGTGAAATGACTCATTTGCATAAGAAATGCAGGAAATGATTAGACAAATGAAGATTAATGGGATATTTTGGTGTCAATTAATTTAGTGTGCAAAGATGAAGCACAAGATAATCCCAGGGCTATTGTTACAGTTTTTATTTGATTGCAGAAATCAGAAAAGTCATTTTGCAATGGAAGGTTTTCACGATGTTGCTTTATAAGAGCATAGGAAAAAGCTCAGCTATTGGTGTGTTATTTTAATACGTCTCCAAAACAGAAGTTGAGAGAAAAAAAAGTCAAATACAGTTTAATTTCTACTAAGTCCATTTTTACAGCATTACCAAAGCATCTGCTTTGAAAATCAAGGAATAAAAGAAAAAAAAACCATAAAAATCCACGCAAAACTAACTAAAAACAACAGGAACAAAAACTTTAGGAATCCTTCTTCCCCTGATGTATAAATTTAACTGTTATTAGTATTTTATTTAAAGCAGAACAGCAATATTTATGATAAGATATCCTTGAAAAACTTTGACTCGGATGTCAATATTCAAATGTGTATCTTCCAGCCAGGTGTGTGTAAATATTTTCTTGAACTAATTTACCTTCTTCTGGGCCATAGCAAACAGGAGGTGGCGCCAAATCAGATATTGCTCTGATTTGTTCAGTTCCATGATGAAGCATGTAAACTAGACCTGTTAATGTCCTTGAGGTATATATAAAATATGTATATACTGTATATATGTGTTTCACTATTTATCTTTACTCTCATTCTTCATTCTGCAGCATAGTTTACTGATCAAGATGCACCTTTGCATGAGTTACCAGAGCTACCGCACTGCAGGTTTTGCATCTAAAACATTTTCCAAGATTAATTATAGAGAGGAAATGTTAATATGAAAATTATTTAATCATGATGTGCTTAGAATTTTGTGTCTCTGGATATGAAGTACTAAGTTTTTTAGGCGTAACCTACTTTTTTAACTTCTGTTTTTATTATTCCCTGTCCCTGTCCCCTTTTTATCTCGTCATTTGCATGAAAAAAAAAATGTTTTACCAGTTTAATTTCGTATGTTACCTGTGAATTCGCGAATGGCAAGTTCTTGCTTTGTGAAGACCTGCAGTTCCCAGAAATTAGTGCGATACCTGCAGCTTTAAAAATGCATGATGTTCACCATTTTGGAGCTCCAGCTTTGAAAGGAGATTAGGTTATTGCTTTTCTTGTATACCTGAAGCTTCTCGAGACAGGACATTTTTTTTTCTGCTTTTGTTAAATCAGCTTGGTGGTGTAACTGGCTGTTTTCTCTGATTGCCAAGATAATTGCTGGAATGTGAATTGCGTGAGTTGTCTTCGTTGAAATTCACGCGGTATTTATTTTAATCTGCTGGCTAATAATTGCTGTTTCCTAAAGGAGACAGTTTAAAACATAAAATGACTTTCCTCCCCCCCCCCACTTTTAAACTGCCTTCCCAGTAATTTTTAATTTTCCGCACATGATTACAAAGTTACACAATGTGACCCTGCTGACCCTTGGAAATCAGAACCTTCTCAATAATAAGCCTGGTTGGGGGAAAAAAAGGAAAAGGCTCCCTATGAATTGTGTACCTCCCTCCTAACCTTTAAGGAAGCAACTAAAAAAATATGTGGAAAGAGGGTTTCACAAACTAAGTACTAAAATATGTATGCAAATATGTTGAACATTTTTCAATTCACCAGCGCTTTTACTTGAAGCATTGAATTTCATTGTATCCCATCCATCTGTTTTGTAAACCTATTTATCCAGTACAAGGTCACGGGGAAGCCAGAGCCTATCCCAGCAAGCAGCGGGCGCAAGGCAGGATACACCCTGGATGGGACGCACGAGGCACACACAGACACAAACACACACGTACCACCGCCAGTTTTACAGAAGCCAGTTAACCTACTAGCATGTTTCTGGACTATAGGAGGAAACTGGAGTGGAGGAGACCCTTACAAACATGGGGAGAGCATACAAGCTCCATGTAGTTTGCATCCCAGGTGCAGAATTGAACTTTGCTGTGAGACAGCAGTTCCAAACTACTGCTCCATTTTTATGTAATCCTCAGTATATGCATGAAAATATATGTGTAGTTATTGGTTGTCAGTTACGGTCAAGATAAAATAAAACTAACCAACTATGGCCAACATGCCAATCAGAAAATCAGAAACTCAGATTCTACTGATTGAACAACAATTGCTTTGAGTAGTTGACAGGGGTCTGGACACAGTGGTTGTGAGCTTCATGCTCTCCCTTTCGGAGCCTGTTCTTCCAAGTCAACACCCCGGTTTGTCTCTTCCTTGCTTTTCTCATGCAACAGTCTCTTCACTGGCTCCCTGTTTCTGCTTGCATACAATCCTAAGCTGTCCTGCCACTGTGTTGCCTACCACTAATGGATTTTTTTTGTATGTATGCTACAGAGACAACTAAATCTGATGTATGTATTTCTATATTATCATTGCTTTATCAATGCTTAGGGCATTGACTAAGGAAATGATCAATTATAATGTAGCCCAGGCTCAAACCTGCAACATTACGTCTGTAAGTCTCAGCTTTGTGGTGCACAGAAACCTCTCCTTTGTGCATTGATGCGTATCAGTACTGCACAATCTCATTTTTTTTTGCATATGACGTTTCATTAATGTCATTTTTGGTATGAAAGTGGGACATGAAAACTGGTTGGGCACATTGTGTTTTTTTTAAAGATATGGCAGGATCTAGATCTATACAAAATACTTTACCTAACTGAAACATGATGCTTCTTTATAAAAAAAGGTTTAATCTCTCAGACCTGCATGACATCTAGATCTCCTAGTGGAATGTTAAACTATTGGGTTTTCTCAGGATGTTATACACATTGAACACAGTGAATTTGAAGTGTTTTTAGTTCCTTTCTGTCAGGTGTTGGCTCGTTAGTGACAATGGTTTGAAAAGAAGTTCTGTATCCTGGCTGGGAACTTGGCAGGTGTCTGTTAAATGGAACCAACCCATTCTACGTGTGATAATAGCAACAGTGCTGTAAATCATGCATAGCTTTAAGCCCAAAGGGCAAAGTGCAATAAAGAACAAAGACAGCTCAAGATTTTTCAAATAATTCCAAATTTATTGTCTCCTTGCCATAAAACATGTCAGGTGGAATTTCATTCTTTTTGGAAATGTCCTCAGCACAAGATAAAATCAGCTTTATGGTTTCTTCTGTGTTTAATTAAAAAAATAATTGAAGAATAACAGGATGTGAAGATTTAGTAGTGTGTACCCAACACTGATCTAGCTCAATACCCTTATTTTAATAAACCTTTTTATTTATGTTCTTTCACCGTGGAACTCTTATTTGAAGTGGTGGTCCATATTTGTATATATCACCTGATTTAATTTGTTGTACTTCATTTGGAGTGCCTTGATTGTTATTATCTTTGTATTTCCCATCTTATCTTAACATTTTACGATCTATTTCTGTGTCTTTCACTATACTGAGTTTCAAGGGGAGGATAACATGATGGAATTAATACCTGTGACTGCCAAACTGCTGATTTTCTGTAAATTATATTGGTAAAAGCGAGTAAGAGAAGGTGCCCAGATGCCTGCACTGATTAGTATC